TGGGATTTGAACCAGAGTCCTCTGGAAGAAGAGCCTTCGCTCCTAACCCTTGAGCTATTTTTCAGCTCATTGCATGTATTTATAATCTCAGAAAAGAGAAGTCCAAATAAAGCTAGATTTATTGTGGCTTTTTCTTACTTATGTCCTGGGTTGAAGTTTATTAGGGAAAAGAAACTACAATCATTGATCACTAATGTTAATACCAATATTTGTTGTTATCAGCCACCTTCTAGCCTAAGTCACTGACAGCCACATCTGAATAGTCGTTGAAGAATTGTGTGTGGGCCCCAACAGACAGGCACTATAAACAGAGGCAATTCTGCTTATCCACTCATTAAAAATGATAGTTGCGTTTCCCTTGCAAGCTGCTTAACATTCTGTGTACGAAGGTGACTGTCACATGCTGAAATAGCCCTGGTCGTACGTGTCTATGATTGTTCCTGGGAAACTCCTTAGCCTGTCAGCAAAGATGTCAGAAGAACTCAACATTCCTTTTGGAATAAGAAGCATCTTTGTCACCCGCAATGCAATGCCTGCTAAAAACAAGAAGAATGGCGGTGGTCCAAGTGTGAATAACAGAGATGAGCAGTGTCCAAGTGGCCGGAGAAGATGACCCGGCCAGAGCCGCAACTCTGCTGATTACCGCTGCGCTTCACGTTGGATGAAATATTCATGCCCCTGCCCTGCTCTCGGCGAGCACTATTGATTTCTGGTCTAAACGCTGCTATATTTAGTCTAGACAAATGGAATGTGAATCACTGCTGAATAAATTGGATGAAAGACTGGGGATCTTGCCTGCTGCCTTTTCTCAGTCCTGGGCAATTATTTATAATCAAGGGCAGTTTTTGTGAGTTGAGGGTGATTTTTCACAATTTAGTGATTAGTCTGTGAACAAACGCAGGCGGTTAGACACAATCATTTCTGTAGGGATAGTAGGTTAAGAAGTCAGATTGCCCTTTGAGGTCTGCGGTGACTGTTTCAGAGCATTGGGGGTTTTGTTCCATATCTTTTTTTTCTTGTTTGTTTGTTTGAAGAATTTTAAGGGTTTTATGTTAATAGTTTAATAAACAATAAAGAAGAACCAAGGGTCTTTTGAATTATTTTATGTTTTTGTGTTTAAGATTCTGACCTCTGCTTATTAAGATGTCCATGAAAAACACTGAAGACTACAGTCGAACCTGCTAAAGATGAAAATGAAGTGCATGTTAGCAACATTGCTTTAGGCTGGACTCATGAAAGCTCTGCATTAATGCCCAAACTCTCACATCACTTCATGGTCTGAAGGTGTGCATGGCAGTCACTGTTTGTCAAACCATCGTTTATTTATAAATCATTTCCCATCACCATTAAACTGCTGCAGGCAGTATTGATCGTTCAAATTTCTGATCGACACATTGGAAAATAGCCGATACCAGCAAAGAAAAATTGATACCTGTCTGCACGAGCACGTGTGTCACACATGTGTGCCATACAGCTAGATTGCTGCTGCACAAATGCATGCATGCAGGTGTACCATACAGCGTGACCACTACTCATAAGCATTTACACGTGAGGCCTTGGTACTCTAAATCTACACAGAATACAAACTTAATAATTCCTAATCTGGGATCTTCAAACCTTTGTAGATATGAAACATGAGGAAGTGATGAGTATTCCTAGTAATTTTAAGAAATATTGATTTTGATGAAGGATTTTTCAGCCAGTGAAATTCACAGGAATCCCCAAGGATGACCCCAGATAAGACTCCTAGCAATAGTAGATAGGGTATCTGAACTGGCCTTCTCCAGTAATCAGGTTAGTGTCAACCCTAATTGCCATCATAGAGCCACAATCCAGGACTTGATGGAAGCAGATGCAGTGATCCACAGCCAAACACTGGGCGGAGCTCCCGAAGCTCAGTTGAAGAGAGGGAGGGGGGATCATTTGAGTAAGGGGGGTTCAAGATTGTGATTGGGAAAACCACAGAGACAGCTGACCTGAGTTAATGGGAGCTCACAGACTCTGACAGCTTTGGATCCTGCATGGGGCTGAACTTAAACCCTCTCAATGAGGGTCACAGTTAGGAGACTTGATCTGTTGGGGATCCCCTGGCAGTAGAACCAGGACTTGCCCGGGTGCATGAACTGGCTTCTCCGAGCCCATTCCCTATGGAGGGTACCTTGCTCAGCCTTGGTACAGGGGAGGGGCTTGGTCTGGCATCAACCTGTGTCTCAGACCTTGTTGACTCCCCAAGCAAGGCTTTACACCCTTTGAGGAGCGGGTATGGGATGGGATGGAGGGAGGTGGTGGCAGGGGAAGGAGAGGGAACTTGAGGTAGTATGTAAAATTTTTAAAAAATTAAATAAATAAAAAAGAAGAAATAAGGAAAGCTGAAGAAAGTGGAGTCACCCAGATTCTCACCCGGAGCACTGCCCTCATCTGTCCTCTGTGTCGATCCATGCAAAGGATTTATGGACTAGTGTGACTGACAATTCTGTGTGTGTGTGTGTGTGTGTGTGTGTGTGTGTGTGTGTGTACACATGCATAGTTATGACTGGATTTGTTTATCTTTTTTTCCCTCAAGTCCTGAGGCTCAACATTTACAATAATGTCTAATATTTAAGGGGCTGCATAACAGTGCATGCAGTTTGCTGATCATAGTATTTTTGCCATTCTATTACTGATCCTTAAGGATTCTAATATTTTTATTCTTAGAGATTCATATGTTTTTGAGCATGTGTGTGAAAATGGGTGTGCATGCTTCTACGTTTGAAGGCATGTGCACATGCATGCACATATTTGTGGAGGGAAGACTGAGGGCAACTTTGAATGCCATTTCTCAGGATGGCAGTGTCTGTAGCAGGCCTGCAGTTCCCCAAGCACTCGGCTGGCTCCCCGGTGCTAGGACTACAGCCTGCAACACCACCTCAACTGCTTCTTTTACATGTAGATGCTGACAGTTAATTAGTGTCCTCATGCTTGTAAGGCCAGGATTGATCAACTGACCTTTGTCCCCAGCCAATGACTACATTTTTTTTTTTTGCCAAGTGGATATGACATAGTTTATTTAGGTGTTTCTTCTAGTTGGTGACTACATTATATTAATTTTAAATACAACATTAATAAAAAACAAAATCTCCAAATAACAATATAGATTTGAAGTTTTTTTCTCCATTAGTATTGTCTCAGTATGGTTTATTTCTAGAAGTGGTAAACCTGAATAAAATTATAGAAATATTTAATATCTCATGGTTCAAATTTTGGATTGGTTTTTGTTCAATTTTATACCAACTGGAAGTACCACTTTTAATAAATAATTTAATCATGTTCTTACCTTATAAAATGGGGCATGATGCAGGAGACATAAATGCATGCTAATATATACATGGGCACATATGTGATTCTTAGTAGCTACATCATGATGTTTCATTTTACTAATGGTTTATATTATTTGTCAGTGAAGGTGATTTTTAGTTCCTGAATTGTTTTTATTTTCTAGTATGTATAGAAATCATCATTTTATCTCAAGGGTTGCTTATACATTTTTGATTGGTTAGCTAATCATTATTGGTGGACCTTTTTAATGTACAGAAAATTTCCATTAATCTGTAATGAGAAGACAAAGTCAGCAGTGTTTCCTGAAGTGCGTGCTGCATACACTGTGAGTGAGGCCCTCATGTGAGCCTTTGACTACATTGCCCTGACCACCTCTGCTTTGGTGGTGGTGGGGCTGGGGCTCGGTGCAGACAGTAGTGTTCTCAGGCTTGTGTAAGTAGGGGAACTGGAGCAAGCACTGGGTTTTAGAGAAGAGGGCGAAACTGATGTCTTGCATATTGCGGTTGACTCACTGAACCTTTTCCCTAGGCTTCTCAGAAGTTAAAGTATTTTGAATATTTTTGCAATTGAAATTTCTAGTTATTTCTGTCTGTACTGGGTGTTAGAGCTGAGGACTGGTTCACTAATTTTGAGGAGGTATAACCTCGGCTTCCAAAAAACTCATTCTCTTTCGCTTGACCTGTTTCACTTTTTTACAGAATTTTACCTGATTCCTCAGGGTGGATGTATTCCTCGGAATGTTTAGCCACCAATTCGGCATGGGATCTGACCAATTAGAGTAGATGTTAGCCATAAACAACCAACATCTGGAGAGCTTCTTGGGCTGTGGTTTTCCTACCTACAACTTTCTTTTGGTGGGGTCAGCCTGCTTCTCTACTCAAACTGTGCTAGACACTTCACATATATTATCCAATTCAATTTTATGAATTTAAATATTATCTTCAACAGTTACATTTGGGTCATCGGATCTCTTTTCCTTTAGTGGTTTGATTAAATATTTACTTGAAGTTCCCGCATACCTCTTCCTCTCTTGTTTATTTTAAGAATGAGGTTTCCACGATTTAAATGATTACTATTTGAGAACCAGTACTTAGACATTTGGCTGCTCTCACTTCTTCATGTGCGGACTTGGCCTGTTGTTATGATTAATCACCATTATCTGAATCTGGATGGAGATTTTTCCCGCTTCTTTCCTAGGTCTGCTAGGGGCGCCGATGTATTGCCTCACACTCTTAACTCGGGATAGAACTCCTCTCTGTCCCTGATTATAAAGCTTTTTATGAGTTCATGAATTGATTTGTGACAGAAGTTCCCTTTTTATATGACATCTTTCTTTCATCTTGCATTTCTTGGTCTTCAGTGGCTTGAATTTGTTAAGTGGTCCAGTCTAATAAACTTTATGAATGATTTTTGATACCTCTAGGTGAATCCGTCTATTTGAAAACAGACATCTGTAGAAAGATTCAGAGCAGAATACTTATTACTGAGTGAGTTTAACTCAGGGACCTTTCACCAAAATTTATGTATAAAACATATTTTGCCTTCAGTGTAAAGGAGTGACTTATGTGTGTGCTTGTGAGTGCTGGAGAGGATACAATGTTATTTGTCTTGCTTTGTTTACAAATCGGAGTGCTAATTTCCCAATCTTTGTCTCCCCTTGTCTGTCTTCCTTCCTGTGTCTCCAGTGGATGTGAAATCAGAGGTTCCTATGGGCCTGGAGCCCATCTCACCTTTAGACCTCAGGACAGACCTCAGGATGATGATGCCCGTGGTGGATCCTGTCGTCCGTGAGAAGCAGCTGCAGCAAGAGCTGCTCCTCATCCAGCAGCAGCAACAAATCCAGAAGCAGCTCCTCATCGCAGAGTTTCAGAAGCAGCACGAGAACCTGACGCGGCAGCATCAGGCGCAGCTGCAGGAGCACATCAAGGTAGCAAATGTGTCTTTGTCTCTGACCTTCTCAATCCGGGCACCTGCACCGCGGTGCGGGCCTGAGACCCGCCCACGGGAGCACAGACGGGCACGTTCACTGCGGTTAAGACGTGGATGTGTGGCTTGTAACTAGTTGGAAATTGTGGTTGTACTAGTTGGAAACGTGGGTAAGCACCGGGTAAGAGTGGCAGGGACGTCCCATGCGCGTCTGTACCCTCTGCTATGTGTTCCTTTCCCGGTGTAGCCACCACCAGAATCACAAGCCGAGGGAGTGCCAGGTTATGCTGATGAGGAACCTGGGTGCCCTGTTCATCAGGAAGGGTAAATTCATCCTGTGAACAGGAGCAGTCTGAGTCTCTTGATTGTTTTTCTTCTCAGTCTAGGTCAATACAAGTTTTTCCTTGTAGAAAAGATAATACATGGCATATGATCAAAATCAAAATAAAATCATACAATGTAAGGTCGAAGGGATTTTTATATGTAAAAGTGGAATACATATTTTAATGCTTTTATAGACTTAAGTCAGGGGAAATATGAGAAGAGCTTAAACTTTTTACTGACATCTGCTGATTGTGTGTTCACTGGAATATGTCACTGTAACTTTATCTGTAGTTTGGATGTTTATTTGTTTTAATAACTGGCAAAGACATTTACCAACAGGGGTCTTGCAGGGGATGGTGGCACATAGCTCTAAACTCAAAACTTGGAAATTTTAGATCTGAGTTACCAAAGAGGCAATGTTTTTTAAATTGTAAGGAAGCACAAGGATGTTTTAAGTCAATAAAATAGATATTTGATCTGAATGTATTATTAAAAGCACAAAATATTTATAATACAATTTTATTTTTTATTCAACTCCTTCAAAGATGACTTAATGTTAATAATAAATAAAATTATGCATTTTGTCATATTTTACTGTACTGTATTCTAGGCACATAATCTCTTGTGTATCAAGTACAGATACACGAATGTGGTATTAATATAGATCATGAAGTTATAACACTAAATTATAGTGACTAAGAAGTTGGAAGTACTATGTTCTTCCCCATTTTTTTTGTTCTGCAAGATATATTATCTGCGTAAAAGGCTCTTCAATGCCTGATATAAAATATAATCTCTTTCCTTTGCTAGCGAAGTTTATTAAAGACTTTCATATGATTGCTCCATAAAATACCTTAAAAATAAGAATGAAGGATTTTGTGTGTGTGTCCCCAATGAAATCATTGTCTCATGGCTATATTTAAAATATGAGTGACCTTCACTTAGTTTGTACATTTATGTTTTAATGAAGGCCACAGCGTTCCTTCGGGTTGACCCTTGGAATGGTAATGGAGCACCGCTATCTAGAGTGCTCTCCTTGCTATCTAGAGTGCTCTCCTTGCAGGCCTGGCAACTGGGCCAGGAGGCACGGGTGTGATGCATGCTTGTCACCTTGCTCAAGAGCCAAGTAACTATATGGTTCATTTTATTTTGTATATGAGTCCTTCTCCTGGATATCAAGCCATGCTGATAAGCTGCTTGAATTGGTTTGCTTCATATTTGTTTCTTTTTCATTAATGTTTGGTGCCATTGTTATTGCTGAGGCCAAGTGTGAGTAATTTACCATTCGATCACTGAGAGCCGAAGAGCAGCAAGTAGGTGCTTGCTTCTGTGGCGCAAACAAAATGATATGGCAGGTTGATTGACATCTAGAAGAGGTTGGAAAAGTGGCTCTCAAGAGAGTCAGGATCTTGAGGTGCTTAGAAGGGAACTACAGCTTTAAGATGTTTTCCCTACATGCAGCGTTATTGTGTGAGGGGCAGAAGATATGATGGCATCCTCCTTTTAAGATTAGGAAGTTAAACGCGTCCTTACCATTTTTATTTTGTAACATTACTGTCTTATGGGTAGGTCTAAAGGTTAATGTTTATAACATTCATTTAGATTTATTTGCATGAGAAAGACTGTACCCCGAGCTTCAAGGGCATTAGCTTTTGAACTCTGACCCTTGTCACAGCCGGCACCTGTTGCTTTCTGTTCAAGTCTCCCAGTTTCTGCCTAACAGCTGAGGTAGAAAGAAACGGTGTGACTTTGCGAAGCCACGCAGAGTGTGATTAGAATGTGTTGTCTTCTCTAGATTGCCCCCAAAGCTCCCAAATCCCCGTGACTCACAGCTGGAAAGAAATGTGTTAAATTTTACTTCTTTTTAATTTTTTAGACATACCCCATTCCTATAACAGTTGTTGGATGTAAGTAATGACTATGGTAACAAATGTGTGTGCTTTTTCATATCAAGAAGGAATTATAGTTTGATTTCATTGAGGTTTTAGATAAAGTATTGAATCCATTTGACCAGTCTCGATATCGATATAGAATTGGCATTCAAACAAAACTTAAACATAACTATGGATTTCTAAGTCACACTGGTATATTTGAGAACATCCATTAAGTAGTTGCCATATAAAAACAAAGCACCAAGGTATTAAGCTGTAACCTGGAGAACAGACGGAACCACTCCTAATGATGTGCTTGGGTTAGGCTGTCACTCCTGGTGTAAAAACTCACCTTCTTGTTGCCACAAAGAAACAAAATGACGGTCCTGGGAGCTTTTAATTTTTATTCCACTATTTGTTATAAAATACAGGCTTTTAGATAACAAATATGCTAAAGGATAAATTATTCTTTAGTTGCTATTAAGCTATAACAGTAATAAATGAAACTGTATCATTCAAAACAAAAAATCCAATTTCATATGAATTATGTATATGATCTGTGAGAGGCATTATTGTCCTTCTTACTCATGATGAACTGAGGTTCCAAGTACCTTTAGTGTCCTGTCAGAACTCGTACGTGGCAATGACAGAGGCTAAGAGAGTCATTTGTTCTCCAGTGGGTACTTTTGCTTTTCTGCAGATATATGTATTTCTCCATCCAAAAGTCAATGGATATCTTCAAATACTGTAACAAATAGCCTTGTATTTGTGCTATGTGTGATCTGAAGTGAATGCAGAGGATTCAGAAAGCCACATGCCAGTACATGGGAGTTTGTGGAAGTGATTTTATTTGAATCCGTGCCTCTAATCTAGAAGCTTTCATGTGTTAGAGGTCAGTTCTGAACTTGCTGTGATCTTCTAGAGAAATATCTGGATGTGTAGATTATATCATCCTAACAATAACTCTCTCTGTGGAAGGGTACAGTCTTAGTGTCTCCTGTGTTTCTGGTAGGCGTCCCCAAATTAACTCACACTCCCATCCTATACATGGTAATTTTGTACTGCATCGCAGGGTAAGAGCTGATTGTCTATCTGTGGTGTAAGAGACTTCGTGAAATAGACATCTAGGCCTTCTCTGCCTTTGTGAGTGCCTATATTTTGTAGGCACACGGGGAAAGGAACTAAGGGTTCAAGCCAACAGCATTCAAATGACCTGAGTGGATTTGGTAATAATTTTTGACAGGGATCTAGAAGAATGGAGTTATCTAAAGCCTTACTTCTTGTAACTATCAAAACCATTCCGTTTCCTGTCTTTATATTTCAGTCGTAATAAGGTGGTTGAAGCACAAGCGAAATGCTATCGAGTTCCAAACGTTGACAACGTTGCAGTGTGGGGCAGTGGGTGATGACGCTGAAGCCTAAAGGAATTGCACACTCTCATGTCTTTCTCTTCTCGCAAGTTGCAACAGGAACTTCTAGCCATAAAACAACAGCAAGAACTCCTAGAAAAGGAGCAGAAACTGGAGCAGCAGAGGCAAGAACAGGAAGTAGAGAGGCATCGCAGAGAGCAGCAGCTTCCTCCTCTCAGAGGCAAAGATAGAGGACGAGAAAGTAAGAGGCACCAGGGTAACAGAACCGTGGAAATGAGCCTGTCGAAACTGCCCTTGTCTAGCTAAAAGAATGACGTAGAGTCTGAAGAGCCCTTTGTATCAGCTCTGCAGAGCATAATGAGAAATAAACACAGCTCTGCCGAAGATGCAGGCGTGTTCTTTGGACTTTGTAAATACCATCACACTAAAGGGATGGAATGTCAGAGTCCCTGTTCGGTCATAAAGTCATGTTTACGTGTTTTCATTTCTTCCATCTTCCTGCCCAGGCAGTCATTTTTCTAAATACGGTACATACCACGCCTCTGGTCCCTTTTGTTGTTCTTAGACACAAGGCAGAACATTTGCAAAATAATGGTCCACAAGAGGGAGACAGAGCCAAATAATTGCCCTCTACCCAGTCAGTTCAAACTCAGGTTGTTGCAAAGTTTAGTGTGTGGTGACTTGAGCTGAAATTATCAACTGAATTGATTTGTTTAATAATCAAATGAATTTTAAAACAATGTTGAATTTTTTAACAAGAAAATCAGGAAAGATCATTTTAATGTATTATAGTAATCTACAACACTCTCCAAGATTCCTGATTTAAAAAGACATAAAATTAAAAACTAGTGATTTATTCCTATTTATTTGCTTATTTTTGTCAGTACTGGGGATTGAACATAGAGCTTCACAAATACTAGGCAAGCATTGTACCATTTAACTGCAGCCCCAACCCTCACCATTTTTTTTTTTTTGTAAACGTAAAGACAACTTGATGGCAGTTCTAGGAATTCTGTCCATATAGAAATGATTCACGAACTCATTGAAGGCATTTTGAAAATTTGCAATGTAAGCAACAGTTAAAACACAGGGCTCTGCCATATCCTAAAGTCTATGTAGATTTGGTTTTTTCTTTTAATAGGAAACCTCCATATGCTGTGGCCAGTGGTATTTCTTCATAACCATTATTGAGTATTCTTGAGTAGTGAGATTAAGTGACCCACAGGCGGTGTCTCTTTCCCTGTGTGTGTGTTTTAGGGGCAGTGGCAAGCACAGAGGTAAAGCAGAAGCTTCAAGAATTCCTGTTGAGTAAATCAGCAACGAAAGACACTCCAACCAATGGAAAGAATCATTCCGCGAGCCGCCATCCCAAGCTCTGGTACACGTATGTTCTGTGTTTGGCTGTTTTCATCCTGAGGGTAGAGAGCGTGAGGGAGCGTGGGTTCTATCTTTGGCTGACCTGGGCAGAAATCCTGAGCTTACCACTTTGGGGGCTTGTGTGGCTGCTAATGAGTGCCTGGAAATCTCTAAGGGTCAGCCTGGCTCTCCAAAAAAAAAAAAAAAAAAAAGGTCCCGAGAAAAGGTCCGAGGAAGAAAATGTATCTTTCGAAAGATATAGGTGCAGTCAGGGCTCAGTTGACTTTAGTATCTGTCACTGGGCAGGCAGGGAGTGCATTGTCTTCCTTACTGAATGAGTCACTGGGGGTACCCAGGGATGGTTTTGAATCCTCAGGTAGCTCCTCTGATATTTGTGCAAAATTTGTGAATGTTTAGGAGATTTGGGCTTATCTTTGTTTCACGTGGATTAATATAAATTGGAAACCAGAGCTATTTTGAGAAATTCAGGTGATTTTTGGTCTTTTCAAAAGGAAGATGGAAAGGGGGAGGGGAAGGAGGAAGATAAATAAACATAAGACTTTAGTGACTCCTTTGGCCCCGCCCACTCTACCTCACTTCTTTCAGCCCCGAGAAATAACAGTTTGGCTTCTGAGAGACAAACAAACTGACAGTAAGATGCATGTGCTATGGAAGCTTTCATGGGACCATGTTTCCCCAATCCAGCAGAGGTAGTACATAAAATACAGTTCTTTTCTCTATGAGATAGGAACATTTTTCCCAAAATCCCATCAAAGATTAGATATAAGAATCACATTTGTGGGGGCTGGAGAGATAGCTCGGTGGTTAAGAGCATTGCCTGCCCTTCAGAAGGTCCTGAGTTCAGTTCCCAGCAACCACATGGTGGCTCACAACCATCTGTTATGAGATCTGGTGCCCTTTCCTGGCCTGCCGGCATACATGCAGACAGAAAACAGAGAATACTGTATACATAATAAATAAATAGATTATAAAAAAAATCACATTGGCTAATAGGTGAGTAGATCTTGGATTCATTTCTCTCATAAATGTGTTTGCTGAATGGCCTTAAGGCTTTATGTGACATATTTTTCAATCCGTCGCATCAAGGACAGGAAGTATATACTAATTATTTTATAGAATTTGGAAGCATCCCGAGAGTTTTGCAGAACAGTTACTGTATTTCAAAGTCTGTTTATAGGTATGGACCCTCCTGTTTTCCCAAAACGGAGGTAACAGGCAGATTCCAAAATATCTTAGACATCTGAACAATTGTGTCCCACGTGTGTATCGATTGACCCAAGAAACCAGCCAGTATCAGAAAACAATCTGAAAGAAATATAGTTTTGTTATTTTAAGTCATCTACATAGGAAATGACTGATTCATAATGCTTTCAACGTTAGCACATTTCAGGGAAAAAAAGCCCATAATTTTCTAATGAGAAACAACTCCTAGGAAACAAGTTATCAGCTGGAAATGCTGCAGCCGGCCCCTTGAGTGTACCTGACATGGCCCACATGTCAGTAGTGAGCTTTCCTTGTTTATATGTAATATAATTCCAGTTAACCATAAATCGTTAATCTGAGGAGTTAGCTGTGTGGCTCTGGGAATTTTCCTTGAATTCTCAAAGAATCAGTTTCCGTCTCTGTAAAAAGGGCATAATAACACGTGTTGATGCTTTTTTGCCAGTTAGAAGTATGTGAAATGACCGTACATGAGTTAAGTGTTGAGAATGTATTTCTCAGATAAGGACTTGTGGTGGACTAGTCAGTGTGCCCTGTGCCCTGTGCCCTGTGCCCTGGGCGTTCTCTCCGTTGTATGATAATTGGGATTTTCGTGCACACTGTGTAGTTTGAGTTCAGTGTTGCAAATTCTTCAGTAGCACAAATTCATTTAAAAAAATAATGCATTTTAAGTTAGTTTTCTGTTGAAGAGGAATGTGCTTTCTTTTTTTCAGTAATTTATTTTTACTTTATGTGTGTTGGTGCTTTGCTTCCGTGTTTGTCTGATCTTGGAGTTCCAGACAGTTGTGAGCTACCATGTGGTTGCTGGGAATTGAACCCAGGTCCTCTGAAAGAACAATCAGTGCTCTTAACCGCTGAGCCCTCTCTCCAGAATGTGCTTTCTAATTCACACGTTAAGATGGCCTGTAGGACTCAGGCCCCTGAGGCTCCGGGCACTGTCGTCTCTTCGGTACAAAGGCTGTCCTTGTGCACATGGCTATGCCATTTGGCAATAACGAGGAATTTGGACGTGTTCACTTCCACCATGGTTGTTCTATAAAGGTGACTCCTAAGGATCAGAATGGTAGCTGTTTTTGTTTGTTAGTTTTTGTAGTTTTTTAAAAGTATAGCAATCTAAGTTCATCTATCAAAGTGAAATTTCCCATGTGGTTGAACGACCAAACACAAGGTGTTCGCTACTAAGAATCCTGCCCTCGCTGTTCTATGTTTTGCTACAGTGAACTTGGATACACGAGGCTGTGGTTTGTAGACGCTAGGGAGGTGCCGCTGAGGCACGTGGACAGCGCATGCACAGCTGAGGCATGTGGCCTAGCACATGCAGCAGAGTCACAAGGACAGCGCATGCAGCTGACTCCTCCTGACTCGCACGCCCTGGAATCCCGCATCCGGTATAAACCCTCTTTGTTTATTGTAGGGCCGCTCACCACACCTCACTGGATCAAAGCTCTCCACCTCTGAGTGGGACGTCTCCATCCTACAAGTACACGTTACCAGGAGCCCAAGACGCCAAGGACGATTTCCCCCTGAGAAAAACTGGTAAGCTGGCACAGCGAGGACAACGCTTACTTTTTCACAGCGCACCTTCCTTTTGTTCTTTTCACTTTTTGATAGAAATGAAAGAATATGACGTCTAATCTGTACACCCGTCACTCACAGCTTCTCGAACCAAATGTGTCCACACGCACATGCACACCTGAGCTCCTGTACATTTTCAGAGAAACACAGATGCGAGACTCCCTTTTCCTTATTGCCACTCGAGTCCATTCATTAGATAATTAACGTGTCTTTGTAAGATTGAAAAGTATATCTGATTTCAATTAGTAATCAGTTTTAGAATAAAGGAAACTAGGGATGTCGACCCCAGAAAAGTGTGACGTTTGTTTGTTTTAAGGGCCCTATACTGCCCTTCTTTTCTTTAACCATTTGCTTTAGCATGTCTAGTCAGAATATTCTGTCCAACACATTTTTTTTTTAATTTTACTATTTCAAATATTGATGTGGTGGGCATCAGTTCAGTCAATGCTTTCTTCTGAGAAAGTTTGCTCCCTAGGGTTCTCCAGACTCCTGACCTAAGTAAAAAATGTGTTCTTATTAATTTCATGTATAAGGATACAAAACACACAACCACACTCATAGGAACATGCAGTAAGACTTGTTTGGAGGAGTGTCATCGTGGAGTTTTGTTTAGGATTTAATGGACAGTATCATTTCTAAATCATGTCCATTTCTTTTCCCATCTTCTGTTCTCCTTGAATGTCACTGACAAGTGATATTTAATGTGCATATATGCTCTTCCCACTATAATCAATATATTTAAATAATAGATAAGATTTGTGTATGGTATGTTCTAAAGCTTTCAGTGTTAAAGACTGCAGCTTTTCAAAAGATTTAAAATATTCCACAGCTTCCAAACTGGCATTCATAGATAGTTGAAGCTATTGTATTTTACTCAGGACTTATTGAGGGACTATATCTCTGTAATTTGTGTATAAAATCCACATAGTGGTGATTTCAAATAATTACATTCATTTTCCCAAGCAATTTGGAGTAATTAAAATGGATGTAGATTGTACAAACACATGCTAGAGCTAATTTCTGTCAGATAATTTACCTATGACATAATGAAGATTTAAAAATAAAATCAATTGTGGATAAGAATCTATTACCCCTCATCCACTTTATATAGTCCCAGACGTAGGGAAAGAGTGCTTAAGCTTCCCAGGGCAATCAGTGCCTTTTTATTTTTATAGGCCGGGGATTTTTGTGTCTCTAGGATATTAGATATAGTAGAACACTTCAGTAGAATCCAATGTAAAGGGAGGACTAGCTGAGCTTCATGTATTGCATACGAATTTTATGTTGCTGCCCACATAGTGCATTATCTTTCTTGTGTGTAAAGGTCTCTCGGACAAAAGGAGGGAAGAAGACAGTGAGGCTTTCTGTACTTGGAAACCTGGGGATTTAGTTTGTGAAAATTGATTCATAGAGGGTGTGGCACTAACAGCATTAATATTTGGTGACATGTGTGGGAGCTATTGACGAAATTCTATCGACATTCCCATAATCAGGGAAGACACTGTCGTGAAGTAGCCCAAGAAATGATGAGAAAGAACAAGGAGTCTGTTTGTGACAGAAGGCTCCTAACAAGTGATGTATGTATTCAAAGACCTGCCCTCTGAGCATGTGGCCTGCTCTGTCCTCTTATTGATGAGACGGCACAATGACTTAGCTGAAGTGCCCTTCAGAGAATGGGCATCTGGGCCCCCAAGCATCCACAAATAAAATCTGTTTTTTAAACTAATCATCATTAAAAGTTGGTAGTCTAGATCCTTCTGTTTCCATGAGAACAGCTTAGTTTCCCTGTGAGAAGAATGCATGATGAGGTGTTAATTCTCAATGAAATTCCCGATCCACAGCACACACATGCTCAGCGTGTATGTTACGTCCCTGGATCTGAATCTGGGCACATGTGAGACGCTCTTTGTGACGTATCACACATGAGAACACCCATGGCCTGTCTTATGGTATATTTTCTGTAGCTGCCCAATATTTGAAATGTGTCATTTTTCTGCTGAAAATCTGATATTTATGAAGTATCAGGCTGCTGATCTGCAAAAACCACATGTTTTCAAACATCATAGCATTAAAATTCTTGAATAGCTGTTAATACTTTGATATCACTATAGGGCTTCAGAATATCCCTTTTCAATTCCCACTGTCTGATGAAGAAAAATGTGATGTAATAAACCACAGATGATTTCCCTTACAAACACTCAGAGAGGTTCTTCCCTAACCACACATAGGCAGAGCTCGTCAGGACCCAGACGTGGGTCCTCTTGGTTCTTGTCAACTGTGTTGTGGGAAAACTGAGACCTGTCTTGGTCTTTCATAGGTCACTGAAACATTTCAATAATATTTCAATTATTGACTAGTATTTCAGCATTTACTATATTCTCCTGACTCAGATTGTATTTTGAAAGATGTAAACTATAAAATTATGCCATGGCAAAATGTAGGTGGTGAACAGGGAAAGTGCTGACGGTGACTTTTGTGTCATAGAGTGACGTCACATTGAACTGCCCCCCGAGTATTGCCGTAGGCCATCTAGAATTACCAGGACAGCCAACACAGAGTTGAGCTTCATCACGACAGCCAGATTTCCAGCTTCTGCTGTCTATCCCAGACTTAGCAGAACTTGATAAATGAACCAGTTCTGTCTTTTGAACTGCCTGTAATACTACATCATTTTTATTTCCCTCACCCTGATCATTTACCGAATTGCTTGTGTTTATTAGTGAGGTTTCGAGAATAAAACCGGAATTAGAGTAAGGAAAGCCTGCAGGGCTTTAAATAGATCAAGGTAGTCCTGGAGATGTCCCTGCAGAAGTAAGGACAAATTGTAAGCCCTCCGAGCTTTCTGGACACCCCTGTCTTCAGCCACAAACAACCCAGGAATAACCAGCTACAGAATTCTCAGTTTCTCACAGGAGTCTGAACTTTCTCATGCAAGGTGGACCCTTGCTTCCCTGCTCTTGGGAGGGCCAGAGTTGTCCCCAATCTGTTTTAGCTAATAAAACTCATTTACTTTCATTTTAAAAATAATTTATTTATTTTTATTTTATGTACATTCTGTTTTGGCTGCATGTATGTCTGTGTGAGGATGTCAAACCCCTGGAGCTAGAGTTACAGACATTTGCAAGCTGCCATGTGTGTGCTGGGAATTGAACCAGGGTTCTCAGAAGGATCACCCAATTTTCTTAACCAATTAGCATCTCTGTAGAGTTAGGTTTACTTTTTTTTATTCTTAAATGAATGACTGTGTGTGACTGGCTTTGAAGTTGGGAATACCATATTTTTGCCCATACTTAATTTCTTTGTTCCATAACCCAAGATTTGGCTTATGGGGACACTTGGGATATGCGTTGACAGAGAATTGTGTTACTGCTGTGGAACCAGATTCCCCTCCCTCTACTGCACACCATGGGACTGATAATAAAGCAGGGAGCTTCTGGGGCTTGGCACTTTCAAAAGATTGCATATATTTCACAGAGATACTACATGCCTGCTGACTTTGAACTGACCTTCAAAACCATTTAATTTGGCTTATGTTCCAGTGAGTATGTGCATATGTTTCATAAAATATTATGACAAAAATTTCTAGAAGTTTTATACTCTATTATAGTATCGAGGTCTTACCCAGTGAACTTTGCCTTTCTTTGAATGTTATAATCTTTCCATTTCATACTTCTGAACAAAGCGAGCAGGCCGGGTATATTAACCTCTAAAACTGCACGAGCCACATAAAGCTTGGCTTTGGCCAAGAAGGCGGTTCCAGTCCTCCTGAGACACTCATGTTAATGGTCAGAAACACTAGACTAGGACTCAAAGGTGGAAGGGATCCAAACATAAGTTAAGGCTGCAGAATGCCAATGGCATTTTCCACTTAGAGTAAATTGAAAAGGGGACAATTGAGACAATATACAGCTTGGTAAATCTGATGCAGCAGACAGTGGTCAGGATGAGGAACCTCTGTGACCTATTCAAGGCATTGTAATCCAAAATTAGCAGAAGGATGTTTCCTTAAAAGGTCTTAAAAATCTCTTCCTCCCCCCCTCCTTGTCTCTACCTCCTTCTCATCCCCCCTTTTACAGTTTTGCATATGCCTTGGCATTTCAGAATTTGGCATGAAGTCTAAAAGAAGCACCGTGGTTATTTCGAGCCTTTACCATATAGGGAGATCTGTACTGTGTGTTTTTTACTCAACTTTTTTTTTAAATCAATAAACTTAGTTTTTAGAATAGTTTTTGACTTACATATTGAGCAAATAACATGTTGCACCTCTGTTGATCCCATTATCAGCATCTTGTATCATATATACATTATCAGCATATAGTATCAACCTATCTGTGCATGTGTGTAAAAGTGGTGTTCATGTGATATGTGTGTGCATATTTGTGGGCACATATGTGCAGGTATATATTCACATGTGTGGAGGTCAGAGGTTGACACTGGGTGTATTCCTCCATTGCTCTTCACTTTATTTACCCAGACGAACTCTGTTGATGAACCTGGAACTCTTCAAATCCACTTGTCTAGCTAGGCAGCTAACTCTAGCATTTCCCGTCACTGCCCACCACTGGGATTACAGGTACACTATTCTGCCTGTCTGACTCACGTGTGAAAGACACAAACTCCAGACCTCACACTTGCCTAGAGAGTACTTTAGCCCTGACTATCTCTCTTCCCTTCAGCCACTGTCAATACATTATTATCAATACAGTCTGTAGATAACATGAAGTTCAGTATGAGATAATGGTGTCATCTGTCTGTCATTAGAGCTTCACACAGGATTATATCGCTTTTTAGATGCTGTTTCTCACCTAGTCCTACCAACCCTAAAATGGGTATGTAGTAATTCTTTTAGTATTTTTCTTGGACTGGAGACATGGCTCACTTGCTATTCTTGCAGAGAACCTGGGATCAGTTCCGACCAACACATGATGGTTCATCATCATCTGTGAGTCCAGTTCCCTGAG